CCCGGCTCTTGAAGGCGCACTTAGGCGGCAATCAAGACTAGTCAGCGCCTGGCGGGTGCTGCGCGCCCCCGGGGTCACCGGGTCAGCGAGGCCTGGGTGCCTCTAACGCGCAGGAGCCGGAGCCCAGCGGCTGGGGCCGGGCGGGAGACGGGGGCCACCTGCCCCGGGGTGGGTGGGAGCCCGGGCTGCTGGGCTTTCGGCTGCGCGCCGGCACTCCACGCTTCCCACCCCAGGAGGCGCTGTTTGTCAAACTTGGCCGCCTTGGAAGGAGGCGCCTGCACGTTCTCAGTTGGAGAACTGAGACTTTTTCAGGGTCGGGCTTCAGGAACGTTAGGCATACAGACTAAATTTGGAGGGCAGGGGTCCGCTGCGGAGAACCAGGGTCTGCTACCCTTTAGATTTCGCCTCTCACCTGTGTACCCAACCGTGCCCCCCGCCTTCCAGTGCAGGAGAGAGAGGTGCCCCATGTGCCAGGAGACTTGCCCAGTTACTTGCCTCCGCCTCTGAGGGCAGGCAGGGAGCGGGGCCTGGCTTGGCTCTCTCACCAGATGCCTTCCGAGGCCCCCGCGGCTTCCGTCTCCGCGCGGAAAGGGCGAAGGTGCGATCTCTGGGCCTGAAAGACCCACCCGAACCTGGCCCGGCTCCTCTCCGTCGGCAACTTAAGAGGTTGGGGTGGTCCGAGTGCGGAGCCCTTGCTTCCCCTCCACCCCGGCCTCCGGGCGAGCGTGGTCCCGTGGCGCGAGGCAGATCCGGGGCGCACGCCGGGGCCGCGTCACCCACTCGCGGTGGGCAGGCTTTGCCAGGGCTTGGCGGTTCCACCCTACCCCGCAGTTCACCGGACTTTCTAGGCGCATCCCTCCGGGCCCCTCTAGCCTTATTCCAGCTGGGGCTCAGGGTCAGTCTGTCTGTCCCTTTTCGGGTTCTTTCCCTGGGTCCTGCCAGTGCTCGGCTTCTGGCCCGAACCCCAGGCTCGAGCATGGTTGGCAGCCCGGCCGTCCTCACCTTCTGAGCGTGACCCCCGGGCGTGCAGGACGTGGGGGCGGGCCGCGCTTGCAGCAGCACTGGCGGCGGGGACACGAACCACGGACCTTTGGCGCATTGGCTCTCCTCCTTTCCCGAAGGCTGCAAGTGACATAGCCGGGCCACCTGGGCCGTGCACCCTCCGAGGGCGACCCGCTCAGATGAGTCCGCGCACCCTCACATACTCGGGGGGGGGGGGGGGGGGGGCTCGGCTTCCAGGAATCGCCGGCCGGGCTTCTCAACGCCGGAAATGCAGATTGTTACTCTTTGGAAGGATGGTAGGGAGGTCAGCGGGCGCCCTGGGCTCGGCCGCGGGCAAGAAGGGGCACACAGGGTGTCTTGGGCGCTGGGCTGGCGTTGGCTTGGCAGTGGGCCTCGCAGCCTAGGACCCCACCTGAGCCGAAGTTTCTGGGTGGGGGTGGCTCAGAGGCCAGCAGCAGCCCAGCTCCCTCGTTCCAGGCCTTGCACCGCACGGCGGTGGGGGACCCAGGACTGCGGAGGTGAGAAGGGGCAGTTCCCCCAGAGCGCGCAATGAACAGCCGCCCCTCCGCGGGTGGGTAGTGGGCACAGGCGGAGGACCTGGCGCACGTGGCGGCCTGGGCACTGGGTGGCTGGGCAGGCAGGCTGGGCCCTGGGAGGTCAGAGCGCCCGGCCAGGCTTCTAAGGCGGTGCTGCGGGTCAGCCGCCCGAGCGCCGCCGTGGTCTTGGCCCCCGTGCCCCGCACGCCGCTCCCGGAGCAGGGCGCCAGGGGCGGAGGGCGCTGTCTCTTTAAGGTCACTGCCTGCTCCGGCACGACGTAGGGAGGACAGCTGGGCACTGGCCATCTGACTGACTCCGACTTGACATCTGGGAGCCCACTGGTGTGTGGCACGCGAAGCGCTTGATGCCGCTATTTAAATGCAAATGCGAGGGGCTCATTGAAGCCTCTCCCCGTAAATCCGCACAAAAGGAACACTTCCCACCCTCCGACAAGAAGGGGCACACAGGGTGTCTTGGGCGCTGGGCTGGCGTTGGCTTGGCAGTGGGCCTCGCAGCCTAGGACCCCACCTGAGCCGAAGTTTCTGGGTGGGGGTGGCTCAGAGGCCAGCAGCAGCCCAGCTCCCTCGTTCCAGGCCTTGCACCGCACGGCGGTGGGGGACCCAGGACTGCGGAGGTGAGAAGGGGCAGTTCCCCCAGAGCGCGCAATGAACAGCCGCCCCTCCGCGGGTGGGTAGTGGGCACAGGCGGAGGACCTGGCGCACGTGGCGGCCTGGGCACTGGGTGGCTGGGCAGGAAGGCTGGGCCCTGGGAGGTCAGAGCGCCCGGCCAGGCTTCTAAGGCGGTGCTGCGGGTCAGCCGCCCGAGCGCCGCCGTGGTCTTGGCCCCCGTGCCCCGCACGCCGCTCCCGGAGCAGGGCGCCAGGGGCGGAGGGCGCTGTCTCTTTAAGGTCACTGCCTGCTCCGGCACGACGTAGGGAGGACAGCTGGGCACTGGCCATCTGACTGACTCCGACTTGACATCTGGGAGCCCACTGGTGTGTGGCACGCGAAGCGCTTGATGCCGCTATTTAAATGCAAATGCGAGGGGCTCATTGAAGCCTCTCCCCGTAAATCCGCACAAAAGGAACACTTCCCACCCTCCGAGGAGGCGGCGGCGGCGGCGGCGGCTCTAGGGCCACCCGTGCAAATCGCGTTGGGCGCGGGGCCCTGAGCGGTCGCCGCCGCGCTCGCGGCCAGCAGGGTCCCCGGCAAAGGTCAGGCTCCGCCCGACCCGGCCCGTGGACGCCCGTCTGGCTCCCGGGAGCGGTCTGCGCGCGGATGTTAGACCGCTGGCCGCCGCGGGCCTGCGCAACTTCCAGAAGTCCAGCCTGCCCCCCCTGCACTCCCTCCTTCTGGGTACCCGGAGCCCCGCGTGCCCGGGAAAGGGCGAGGGGCGGGGCGTGGCTCCTGGGGAGGCGGCCGGGCGCGGGACGCGCTCCGAGCATCTCTCGGGACGTTCGGGAATTGCCCTGCAGCCCCTCCCCTACCCCTGGCCTAGGAGCTCTGTCCCCAGCTCCCCTCTGCTGCGGCTCCCGCCCTATCAAATCGAAAATCTAGGGGTCGGGAGGGAGCTGCCCTCCCAGGCCGCTCCGCAGCAGGCCGGGTTGGAGACCCTGCCCGGGCGGCGAGTCCTTGTGCCCGCAGCTCGGAGCCAGCAGTGGAGTGACAAAAAAGATAAAGTTGGTGAATGATAAAGACCGTATTTTCCACGCTTTGGGTGCGGGACCAGATGATCTAGAAAATGAGCTGAAATGGATTCAGCCTCGGAGCCTGTTGTGAGAGCAGCTGATTCCCCCATTTCGGGCCAGATGGCTGCTGAACACAGATTTGCATTCATTTTCGCTTAATATCGTCCAAAATAGTGGGGCAGCTGCATTTGTTGTCAAAAAGGTTTAAAACCCCTTTTCTTTCTGGGGCAGGATCGTTACCTTATGTGATGGGCTTATAGAACTTTTTTTTCCTCTTTAGTCAACAGTATCAGATTTAGAAGGATTTGTTTTTAAACCTTCTAATTTGGTAATCAGATTTAAATCGCCTTGGCGCGTGTAATCTGAATTAAAGATACTGTAAATGATTTTAAGCATGATACTTTCTTAGCGCAAGGAAGGGGCAGCTCCAGTGCAGGCTGGACATTTTAGGAAGTGTGCTACAAAGGAAGCATTGTTTCCTTTTTCCAACTTCATCTTTCCCGAAAAGGCACTTTGCATATTCTGACAATAACGCTCGCCTGGCCGCTCGCCCTGCGTGAGCCCCCGAAGCAGCTACACGCGCAGAGACAAAGCATTTCTCAACCCCACCCTCCACCGATGGCCAACTTTATTTTGCGTTGTCCCTCCACGAAGACAGTGTTCTCTCCTACACACGGGTCTGCTGGGGGTGGAAAGCGCTGGACTTATTAGGAATACAGAAATTTTCTTTTAATTTATCGTGAATAGTTTCCATACACTTTGATTTAAGGTTATTAACATTCTATAGACAGCGGCATCTTTAATATGTGGCGATCGCTTCTAAAGACTAATCTCATTACCCTCAAATAGTCATAAAATATGATTTTATTATACTTACGTATTTAATTAGACGGCCGGCACCGTAGTGGATTTTGAGAAGGGACTGGCGCAACAGCTTTCATAATTCACTTATCTTTGGCAATAGTCATTAACCCCCAACACCAGCAAAATAGATGGCTTTCCAACACATCTTTTTTCCTCACCCCTTCCAAGAGGCGTGGGGGTCCCCAGATAACGTAAATCGGACTTGGATTTTCCCGATTAATTAAAATAATAACGTACACACGCTACCAATTCACGAAAAAGGGAGTGCTACCCCAGACCCGGCAGGAAGAGGCTGCCCTGCCACACACTTGCGCCCTGAAACCTTTTTTTTTTTTTTTTTTTTAAGTCAAAAGGGCCTGATTTCTCTTGGCAGGGAAGTGCCGGGGACAGCTCCTGGTCGTCCCCTGCGTCTCCGCTCGGTGTCACACAGACGTCCTTTGGGCGGGCCGTGCGCCTGGGCGCCAAGTCCGGACTGCAGGAGTTGGGCCGCCGGGCCCACGCGCTGCCCGCGCCCGGCCTCCCTTCCGATTCCTCGAAACCAGGTCGGGAAGCCGCGCGCCGCGCGCTCACCCGGGCCGGGTGGCACCGAGGGCAGGGCCCTGGCGCCCGCGGCGTCCGCTCGGCTTTTAGAGCGGTCGGCGCCGGGGAGGTCTGGCCACCGCGCCGGGCGCTTAGCCGGACACCCGGCTCCAGGTGGCCGGAGAGACCGGCGCGCTTCCCGTCGGCCCAGAGAGGCCGGAGCCTTCTTTGTCGTTCGCCGCGCCTAAGGACAGGCCGGGGACCGGGGTCTCCCGCGGCCACTCGGGAAGCGGGAGCATCTGGCAGAACCTGCCTCCGACGTGGATACCCGGCCCGGCGCTCGGCGGCCTCCGCCGGGTAGGAAGCACGGGGCGCCCGGCGGGGCTCAGACGGGGACAGACCGGCCCCACAGCAGCCTTAGGTCTGCTTAGAAATCAGGCTGAGCTGCGCGTCCCGGCTCGGCGGGGAACCCTCGGCCTCCTCCCCGCGGTCGCCCTCCCTCTCCCCGCCTTTCCTTTTGGGCCTCCCCGGGGCGAGCTGCGGTCCCTTGCCTTTACGCATGCATTTGGGCAACTTGGGGCGCTTCGGCATTTCCCAGGCGCCAGCACCCCCTCCCCCATCGTGTTTTGACTGTGTGGCAGGCTTTGCGGGAAGGTGTTAGGGGGCCAAGCTGCAGCCGTGCACTGGCTACGTTTGTTTCTTTTCGAGATTTATTTGGGCGACGAACAATTTCCTCGGCTGCGGCCGGGCGCTAGGAGCCGCGGCGCGCGGCGGGGGGCGGCGGCGGCGCTCGGCGGCGCTCCGCCGGGTAG